GGGAGAGTGATAGAGAGGGAGCAGGAGAGGGAGCACGAGAAAATGGAGAGAGAGGGAGAGAGCAGAGGGAGAGTGACAGAGGGAGACAAAGGCAGAGACAGAACTAGTCAGAAAAATCATGCAGACAGAGGGGACAAGGAGCAGGAAAGGGAGATGATGCCGATCGCACATACTAGAGCAGCCATGGCATCCTCCAGATTTTTCATTGCTTCTGTTCGTATCCGTTGCCCTGCTTCCGCAATCCAGCCAAGCTCTGTGTCGACTACATCCACACCACTCAAGTTCACCTCCCTTCTTGCGGTCTCTGAGAAAAACAAGCAGCCAACGAAACGAAACAAAAATGCAAATTTAGAATCTAGCCAGTTGTATCTGGCTCGTGGCTGAATCGAACAAACACATGTAACTGCTGATCCACAAATCAAAAGTTCACTCGTGTCAGATACAAAAAAAAATAAAAAATGGTAACAGCTCCCTTCACACTAAACAGCAAATACCAAAGCGTGCATAGTAAATACTAAGCACTAAGCAAAAGGTAGATAGTAAAAACTAAAAATAGTACGCACTAAGCGAAAAGTACATACTAAAATACGCAGAACTAAACATAGTAAATACTAAGACTACTGCGCACTAAGCGAAAAGCACATAGTAAATACGCAGTACTAAACAGATACCAATAGCACCAAACTGCATTAAGGAAATAACACTCCATCAAAAGACTGTACATAGCACCAAACTGCATCGAGGAAATAACACACTCCATCAAAGGCCTTCTATGTAACAATGACCTCATCTCCCGGCAATAGCACCACTCTGCAGAGAGTGAGTACAATAGCACCACTCTGCAGATAGCAATAGCACCACTCTGCAGAGCGTGCGTACAATAAACTTCGTCCGCAAAGAGTTCGGGAGGGGGATCTTGATGGAGGAAGAAGCGTGTATGGGGGTGCTGAGCAGCAGGCCGGTAAAGAAAAAGGAGGGTCAGCAAATTTGCATGGTTTGAATTTGGCTAGCGAACGTTCAATCACCCCACCAATCTTCTGACAGCAGCCATGGCAATACGACCCTGCTGCTGTCAGAAGATTGGTGGGGTGCTTGAACGTTCGCTAGCCAAATTCAAACCAATGGCATGCAAATTTGCAAACAGTCACCGGAGTTTTGTGTCCAAAGATCAAATTGTTCGCAGGCGCATCCTTCTTGACAACCATACTGTGAACAACCCCTTCCCCCTCCCCACGCTCCCCCATCCCCCCAATAACCGGGGCCTCAAGGTACCGGCTTCTTTCCATGCTCAGGACCATCAATCCGGTTGCTTATCCACCGGTAGTGCTATTATCTTTCTCTCCCTCCAAGCCCCCACTTTCCCTTCCCTTCCCTCACCATTTCCTCCCCCCCCCAACCAAAAAAAAAGCAACCTTCCTACATCATAAAATTTGCAACCACTTCCTACTCAGGGTTACCCGTTACCAAATTAGAAAACTGCCACACTGTGTGGCCCCCCTTCCCTAGAAGATTAAACCACCCACCACCTCGGAGCCTCTTCTTGCTGAGGTAGATTACCCCCTTCATGCCAGGCTTTGCCGAAATGCCAACCGCCATTTTTTTCCCCCTTACCTGGCGCCGTCAGCCATTTTGGTCTTCTAGCACTGTTCACCCGAACTTTTTGGAATGACTAAGTTTCGTTTCTCAAGCTTGCCTGCGCGGTCTGCTGGCGGTTTTTAACTACTTGACAGTGACTATCGCTCCCAGCAGGACTTAAGATGACGTGTGCACAGAAACGAGGAACTTAAACCATTGAAAAAGGAAAGGTAAATGKARGGGGGGAGAGGSGGGGGGGGGGGGGGGGGGGAGAGGGGAAGCGAGCTTTACTGGGTCAGCACACTCAGCATGAGATAAAAAAATTAATTACAAAAAAAAAAAGTTGAAGAACAGGCAGTGTGCGACCTCTGCAGATTGCGAAAGGAGGAGCACCTTGATTTTGCTGCATCAAACATCACTTAACAATTTGGCATATGAAAGGTACAGACCATAGGGAGATTTGTCTTTTACCTATTTCATTAAAAAGTTGAGCCGCCTTTGCGAGATCAATGTGACCACCGGTTTCGCCCGCAGTCATCAAATCTCTCAGCTTCGCAATCAGACGAATGACTCTGATCACCTGACGCAAGAGCTCCATGGTCTCATGTAGCGCCGCCAGTTGGCGGGTTTTTGTCCTTATTAACTTATATGGCTCCGCAAGCTCAGACCGCACACTGATCACATTTAAAAAATAAAATAAAAACGGACAAGCAAGCACAATGACACCAAGAGTAGGGTCACCACTTGGGTTGCAGATTATCCCAAACAGTTTGTTGGTTACACGAATCCGTACCTCTGGGCCTAAGCCCTCCTCCGTGCACCTGCACGGATTCAAACCGGCGACCTCGACCTCAAGAGCCAAGTCTCTTAACCGCTACAGCCAGGACACGGTGTTCAAAAGTGGAACCATACCGGTCGTGATATTCACCCCACCCCTGCAAGGCTGTAAGTGTCTAAACTCAACCTAACACCCCACTCAACTCCACACGGACAACACCCTGATGCGTCAGCAATTCTCACACACTCAGCTCCAACTGAGCACATATCCTTTGCTCCAATCAGTACACACTGATTTACTGGTACTTAGCCCACTCACTACCCCAGGGTATTTAAGCTACCCGGCAGTTCACGGGAGCCTTCCACGGTTGGTTATTCCGATCCGTACCTCTGGGCCTAAGCTCTCCACCGTGCACCTGCACAGATTTGAACCGGCGACCTCGGCCTCGAGAGCCAAGCCTCTTAACCACTACAGCCAGGACACGGTGTTCAAAAGCGGAACCATCCCGGTCATGATACCCACCCCACCCCTGCAAAGCTGTAGTGTCCAAACTCAACACAACCCAAACAACCTGAGTTTCTAAATTTCAAAAAAAGGAGTGACCGTAACTGATAATAAAACATGTTTTGCACAGCCAGCAAAAGCAGAAAAGAACTGAACCTACCAGGCTAGCTCAGTTGGTACACCCATGAACTTTTGAAATAAACCTGAGTGGAATCAGACGAGTAAAAATCGTACTTGCAGCGCACCGACCCTGTGCGCTGCGCGGTGCGCCGCGCACTGTGCGGTACGCGGACCCGAGGTGCGCGCGCACAGGCACGCGCCGCGCACCCGGGTGCGCAGTGCGCAGTGCGCTGCGCTCAGGGCCGGTGCGCTGCGCACTGGTGCGCTGGGGGGTGCGCGCTGGCGGGGCGCAGGTGCGCCGGGTGCGCACACCATTTTTTTAATTTTTTTTTTAACTGTTTGTTTAGGGATTTATTTTA